TTGCTTGCTGTTTTTCAACTTTTAAAAGCATATAGCCTCTGACGTTGCCTGCTTGACCGTCGTGCACGGTTATGAGAACCTAGCCTTAGTTTATCGCGGAACGTGCCTTTAAGTGGAATGCATGCCCATCGCGGAAAGGGATTTAACAACGGCGAAGATTTCATTTACCAGTTATCGAGTGATTCACGTGAAACGTCAACGTGGTAAACATTGTTCTCCCCATTATTTTCCATGTTGGACAGCAGAGTGAGTGGACCTATCCTTCCTTCGCCTTTCGCTTTTCCCCAATTTTTCGCCTTTCGTGAAAGGTGATCCATCTAGACCACGGTCTACGCGTTTCTATCCTCTGACTCCCCCTAAGCTCCCTATTCCGGAGTGTAAGGAACATCAGAGGATAGGGCGCACCTGTGCTTTTACTGTGCGGTCATGTCCGCGTCGTTTGCAAAATTGAGAAAAGTTGACGCGCAATACACTTTCTTCGAGGGAAACACACCCCCTCCCTCTAGCGACAAAGTAGGACCCCACTCGCTAGGGATTCCGAACGCACGATCCATGGCCCCATTCTCGGTTTACATCGTTGCGCCCACCTCTAGCAGGTTTTATATTATCTATTTGTTGTATTATAGCAATAATTTGTTGAAGTATTGAATCCCAAAATCTGGTAAAGGCATCAGTATGGAAAACATGAAAGTTTTAAAGCAACCCGACCAGTTTTTCATTAGTTTATTGATGACTACTGTGGATATCAGGAACCACTTACCCATCTAAGCAGTGTGTAGCTTCCCACGCAAACGTGGTAGTGAAAAAAGCCGGCCAGTGATATTTTGTCAAGTCTCCCACAAAAAATCCAGAGATAAAATAGAAATTAGTCAATTTCACCACGAAGAGGCTGAACTGTAGGCAGGATTGGACGAAAAATTTTAACTCCTTAGATTTCATTCCTTTCCCGACTTTCTGAAAAAAAATTGGTCTCCAACTAAATCTGTACGAAGATTATCAACGAATAAGTCTGACTCACCATCACAGTTATACGTAAGCGATGAAGAGTAAATAGATCCATGAGGATGATGAGGATGAACACGGAGACACCGGTACCAAAATCGAGTATTTTCCCGAGTACGTAACCACAATAATTTGGCGCGAATTCCCAGAGATAGTTGCTCGAATAGAACACCGCGTAGCATTCGTTGACTGAAGCAAGATTAACCTTTATTTGACGGCACACTTCCTGCTTTTTTTCACAAGAAGTCGAAGCCACGTTTACGAAAGGGAAGGGTGGGTCGCAAAGGAAAAGCGTGTACCATTTTCACTCCAGAATATGGTGTGGTGGGAGTCAAAGCATGTCATGAGATCGCAGGACCTTGAAACCATTCACGGGACGCGCCGGTGTGAAACCCTTCGCACTGCCATGCTACCGTCAATAGGATTCAAATTATAGAAGATTTGAGCAGCGCGGGAGCCTATTCTGATCTCAGCCCGCGCGCCCATCAGTCTGTTTAGTCGCTGAAATGTCGTTCTGCTGAGGTGGCGGTCATTCCTCCTCTTGCGGTGGAAAAGGTCGTCTATTTTCTTATCTTTGGTCTATTTTTACAGCTGCCATACTACTCGAATGTCTTCCGCTAGGCCTTAGCTGCTATTCTGCCAATCATGCCTTTATCTAGCAATACTCTCATTTATCTTTGTTGGTCATTCATATGCATTGTGCAGTCTTTTAATATCACACTGGTCAGCTAGTTGTCGCATGAACACTACTCTGTTCCTGTAGCTCAGTCGAAGCATGATGATCATGGTCCCGTGAGGGTCTCAACATGCCTGTGTCGGTCTTGGTCTCGATTTGTCTGCATTATAGTGCGCGCGCATTCTCCGCGTCCCTCACGATGCCATCATTCTACGTGGTCCGGTTGACACCAAGGCACATCATCCACTCATGTCAGCGTATCCGGTCATGAGAAAACGCAAAGCTTCTGAAGTGGCTTTTCAGAAACACAACTGGCTCTGTCCTGTCTCTATGTCTGTCGACTTGCTCACTTGTACAAGATGGCTAGAAGTATGGGCGCTTCTTTTATATTTTTTTGCATTCAAACTAAATTGGGAGTTTCATCGTAGTTGCTGCGCGGCCGCTTGTCCACTATGAAAGCGACTGCATGACATGCACAGTTCTAAGATGGAAGCTCTTTCACACTGGTTAAGTGAAAACTCCATAAAACCTGACCAAGCGACTACAAGATTGTCTTTTTTTCATTAACTCAGCCACAAACGGAGGGCAGTGTTGACGCGAAAAAGAAATACGGTCAACTACTATCGGTAAGTTCACTGAGTTCCCATTCACTTATTAGAAAGAGACTTTCCAGAAATGACGACGTGTCTTTGAAGTCGATAACAACTATACTGGGAATCGTTCGCTTGTACGTCCAAAACCTAGTAGAAGAGTGCTAGGGGCTTCGTCAATACCGGTTTTACAAGATATACTTGATGGAAAGAGCCATGGAAAAAGGTCTACGAGATGCAGTAAGGGACCGCGTGGATAACTGTTGTGATCACTCAAAAAATGCTTCATGCTGAACGCAGCAACAACACTCAAGTTAGATGTGAATTGATTGGTAAGATGTGGGAGAATTCTGCGAACAGAAAAGTCCGCTCCGTTTTCGGAAGGATTCACAGTTAAGAACCAACTACCCACCACAACAATTTTATCATTGATGTCGAAATAAAACACACGTTCGGGCCTATCACGATAAGGCTTTAAGGACAGTTGAGGCCAAGAACAACAAATCCCAGATGATCTTCTAATCTCATTAGGATCGCGCTCATATGGGAATGTCGGCGATAGCTTGCGTTTGCTGCAACATACCAAGTCCCGTCGACAGAGGCAAACTGTCTTTTAGGCCCTAACCCACTGATTTCTCGATGACAGATTATATTGGAGAAGCTGGAGAGTAAGGGAATCATCAGTCTGGACACTCACAAATACATGAACATCAATCTACATCTGGACCGCCTTGCAATTGGGCTACATACGGCGTGCCTGATTCAGCCCTTTCGCATTTGAAGTTTTGTGTTGTAGCTGAGCACGGATACTTGGAATGTTTTAGTAAAATTCCTTACTCAGTCTATTGTAGCGAAACCAATAAAAAGTCCTTCGGAAAAACGCGCACTCGAGAGAGGGGGTTTGTTACTCAGGCTCTATTGTACTATATCCAATAGAAAGTTCGTCACGAAAATGCGCACTTGTGAGAAAGAAGAGTTCATTACTCAGGATCTATTGTGGTGTATCCAATAGAAAATTCGACAGAAAAATGTGCACTCGTGAAAGAGAAGAGTTTTTGTGGGCGCTTTCACTTTCTAGCACCCTGTATGTCCTCTCCCTGCTTTTGTTCGGCTTCTATGGCTTTGCTGTTTGTTTGTTTAAAGGCAGTACGCACGTAAATCCCCAAGACGAGTAGGATTAATACGCCTGGCAGGACGGAATTCCGCGACCCTGAGCAGGCGCTGCATAATGCCTTTTCCAAGGAAGGTGCCCTTATAAGGGCCCTATCAAGCCACAACATTCCGCCACGCCCGCCCGCCCACAAATGGACGACCGTTCCTGACGCTCGTATTCATTCATTTGCTAAGCAAATTATGAAGCGAAGGGATTGGTATGAAGCGGCCGTGATGCTGCATGGATATATGAGTACACATATGCAGCCGTACCTTCGGTAGCGGTTATTGGCAAGATGCCTACGGGAAACTCGTCCAAAATTGATTACTAACACAGTGAGAACGGAGGCTCTTTCTTCGCAGGATTTTGACCGTTTCACTCCGTTCTTTCGCCATTTCCCCACTATATAGCGCCCTACTAGCATTTTAGGGCGAGCACCAAATCAGCCTTTGAGGCGTTCTTCGCGCCCGCTGCGTGCGACGTTGTCAGCAGATAACTGCGAAAAATATCTGAAATAGTTCACTTCTTCTCAGCTAATCCTTGCACTACCAACTATCTCATAGTGTGGAAAGACGGGTAAAGAGCTTCGGAAACGATGTAAGTATCCACTGTATCTCGGGTAGGAACGAAGGGGACCACGACTTCATCTAACCCCAATAAGTGTGCGTCGTTGGTCAAATAAAGCGACTGTGCAAATGGTGTCACTTGCGCGTTCGCACCAAGACCAATTGATTCAACGTCAAGGTACTACAGGAAGAGATGTCAACAAGTCAGGGAATCGCTGGCTTTTACTCTTTCCGTAATGTGGATCTCCCTACAGCCCCTCGCGCCCATAGGCATCACGTTGGTGATCGAAGAACAATTTAAGTACTTCAGGAGATTAGATGAAGATTATCACCTACCGTTGAAATACGGTATGAAGTGAAGAAAGCCTAGAAACCAGACAACTCCTATCATTATCAGCGTGTTCCGTTGACTAAGGAAATTTCGACTCTCAATTGGCCAAGAGATTACAATTAGCCTGAAATGAGGAAATTTAACAGAAGTGGGGACACATAAAAAGGGGTGGCTAAAAAAGATACAAATCGGGGCTTCACAGTCGTTCTCGCCGAAATCACTTAAGCCGGGCAAACCTTTCGCCAACGTTCATTTAACACCCGTAGCGATCGATGGCGAACGGCTGGCGCCGCGCCCAGGCTAACACACCGCTGCCACGCCCCGACTGTCTTCAGAATCGCATGATGTGCCGTAATTGCGGACCTCGTGGTGTCCGAATAGCCTACATATAGACTGACCTATTAATGCTGGATATAAGATGTGAATAGACGCATACATCCCATACGGCTATCATAAAGCCACCGAACAGTTTTGCAACGGGGGATGTAGTAGAGAAATCGGACTGCCTGAAAAGATGGCTTGACAGCCACAACTACGAGAGTTAAAGTTTCCAAGGAATTAAAGAAGATAAGCAAAAGCAATTTTCGGTAAAGGTGCAACTGATGTTGAGGAAGGCATTGGTGGCAATTTTCTTCAAAACTCCGGTTGAAACCCCTTGCCTATCAAGGTCAAGGACCAAGATCTCCCAGGTGTGTTTCCTATATCATCTTAGTGGGGGAAAACAACCTTCCATCACTCTCACAGGGGAGTCTCGGTTTCGGTTCCTTCAGTTAGCTCGACTCAGCCTAGTTGCTCTTTTTCAGTTTTTCTTTAGCGCTGTTTTTAAATTGGAAGCTCCTCTTTATCATTCCCACCATCTGTGTATTTAATTCCCGAGATTCCTGTCTATGTGTATACGACGTACCCTAGGGGTGTAATTCGATGAATCAAAATAAGTAAATGAATTATTTCGTTTTCTCTAAATAGTTTCTATGAGTTCACTTTCTAATTTACGGAACAGTTAATGTTGAAACATCATTGTTATTTAGTGGTTTTAGCGACGTTGATTCCTGCTGTGATACTTTTTGCTAGCTTATTACTTCAAACAACTTCTGCTGTTTCCCTTTTCACCTTTTTTACTCTTTTGTTGAGTTCTCCGGGAATTCGTAGAAGATAGCACGTTTACGGGATTTATCGAATGAATAAATGTATCCTTCAAATGGGATCAACAAGCAGGGGTAGTAGGCAAGCAGGTTGCCGAGAAAACAAAGACGTTGGTTCGAATCCTGCAAACTGTCAAGCGGTTAAGCCCAGACCCGGGATAAATGATCAGGACACGTCGTACGTTGGAGAACCTTGGCGAAAGGAGGCGGTGGTCTTATTAGAAGCAAAGAAAAGCAAACATTGGGAAAGGAATACACAAACAGTTTGTCTCTAGAGGGAGGAGGCGGAGGGTTGTACTCCCCTTCTGAGGAAACACTGGGCAGGTTAGGGGAGAAACTCCAAAAAGTGGTTTAAGGTTGGAAGCATTGTGAAAATAGAACTTAGGATGGGGAGCGGAAAGGGGTCGCATCAGAGAAGCAAATCTTAATGGGGTCCTATTTCGCGAAAACTCCACCAATTATAGGACGTGCCCGTTTGTGATCGTGAACTTTGGTCCAGACCAGCTCACACGATTGAGTCATAAAAATGATAGAATGCACCTGTGAAGCACTCATTCTTAATTCATTGTAGTCAACAGAAGAAGAATAAGCCATTATTATGGTTCATAGTGTTAGTGAACAATCTTACTGTAATTAATTAGAGGATAAAAAGTAAGGGAAATCAACCAGTCGCTTTTTAGCGCGCGCCATACTTTCTACTTCCACCCAAAATCGCTGTGGCGCATTGAATGCAATGCGGCCTATACATACAATCTAATGCGGCAGCCAGTCGATGTATAAGTTTTTTTATCTTCCCAG